TCCTTACGTGTATGCCTTACAACTTCAGGGAAGTTCTTTAATCTTACTGCGTCTGAAGGTGGGGGGGGGTGGTATGTGCCGTGGAGTCGGCTCCAACTCATAGTGACCCTGCATAGGGTTTCCGAGGCTATAAATCTTTATGGGGGGCAGAAAGCCTCATCTTTCTCCAGAGGAACTGCTGGTAGTTTCGAACTGCTGACCTTGAGGTTAGCAGCCCGATTCACAACCACTACCAGAGGTCCTTGTACCTGAGTGTACGTACTTACCTGTGAAATGAAGATGCTCACAAAATTGTGAGGATTTAAATGTTAAAATGTATAAAATTCACTGTTAACTACTACTATGAATGCAGTGAACATTTGTGCATATAATGTAACAACAACAAAACCCCCACTGCTGTCAAGTAGATTCCAACACACGATGACCCACGATGACCCTCTTACTGGACCGAGTGGGCCACCTGCTCCTTAGAGCTCCTGAGACTGTAAATGGTAATGGGAGCCAACAGCTTCACCTTTTCTCGTGTGGAGCGGCTGCTGGGTTTGAATCACCAACCTTGTGATTTGCAGCCTAAATCAAAACTCCATTTTAAATGAAAAATTTTCACGTCTACCTATCCCAAAAAAAGCCAGTCAGCCTTTTTCCTTGTCAAAGTATTACTGTTGGAATAACATAGACAAGAATCAGAATTTCTAACCTAGATGAAGAAGTGTTTACTTCACTGACTCTGAATCTCCAGGGGAGCCTGGTAAACCTTTCCAAAGGCTTCAGATTAGAGTGGAGTCAAGCTCCTCTCTTTCGTAACCAAATGAACCCATTTTCCATTTTAAGAACTTCATTGAAAAGCAAGACCCCTAATCAAAATGTTTATACAGAGTGCTTTACAACTGCCTTAATCAAACTGGAGTGGCAAACAAGCCATCCTGACTACAGACAGGGACCCTACAGGACAAGGGCAGGACTGCCTCACCGGTTACCGGTTACCGAGGCTGTAAATCTTTACAGCATCAGATGGCCCCGTCTTTCTTCTGCAAAGGCTGGTGGGTTCCAACTGCCAGCCTTAACCACTGCACCACCAAGGGTCCTTCAGGTGCACCTGGAGATAGGAATTTAGGTTTTGCTAGGAATTGTTGAAAAGGTTTGAGATTTGAAATCTTTTTCCCTCCTCCTACACTTTTCCTGTATGCTTTTTACCAAATAAAATTTGCTTCTACAAAGGGGAACACTTTGAGTATCATGTACCTCTGTTCCATGAAATTCAATTCTTCCCTCAATAAAACCTTGTTTTATTTGCAAACAGAGCGTTTGTCTCATGGTTCCACTAAGCTAGACGTAACCCACAGAGGTAAGGAGCAAAGCGGTGTGAGTGGTTGCCATGGTTACCGCCATGGTTACCTTGGGAGTGGAGTGTAAGTTAAGTTTGGAGGGAAGAAATGGTCTCCACCTCTAAACTCTCTGATACTTCTATTGTATTTTTCTATTAAAACTGAGATCAGAGATGGGAACAGACTGTGTAGGTACTAAACAAGGGTAGAGCCAAGAACTGATAAAATGTTCACAGGAAGTATTAAATCGGATCTCTAGTTACATTTGAGCAGAATTAATACTTACATGCAAAACTTGGAAGACAGCAATCTCTGCACCTTCCAAAAATGTAATTACCTGGAGAAACTGCTGAGTACTCAGGAAGCTCACAGATGGTGACAAACACAAACATCCTGGAGGCAGAAACTGCCTCCTGCGTCTAGCACAATGGGGCACTCAGATCCTATACAACAACAACAACAACACAAGTCAGATGTTAGCCCTGGGCACGTTCTGACTCATCACAATCATCACCTTTAGCAGGTGTGGGCAGTCCAGCAAGTGCCCAGCACCAGGCTACCTTGTCAGTCTTGTGGACTACAAAGAACGGAGAGGTCACATCCTGAGGATCCAATCCATGGTAAGACGAAAGCCGAAGGAGAGCAGAGTCTTGTCTGGGGCAGCAGCTCTGTGCTCCCAAGATGGACCAGCAGTGGTACAGTAGCAAATTCCTCCCCTCCAGGTGGCACACTACATGCCAGGCACCACCATTCTGCCCCTGGAGGTTGGTATGTGCCTAGGATGCTAAGACAGACTAGGAAGAAAGGTCTGGTCATCTACTTCTGAAAATCAGCCTAAGACAACTCCATGGATCTGCAACCAATCATGGGGCTGGCGAAATTCCAGTGTGGACAGTGTGGCCAGGAGTCAGGCCAAGTGGCCAGCAGCAATTCACAGGACAGGTGACACAGACAGAGTGGTGCCAACGGCTAAAGCACTATGCTGTGAACCAAAAAGCTGGCCGTTCAAAGCCCTGGCGATTGGTGCCCTTAAAGGTAACAGCCTAGGAAACTCCGGGGCAGTCCTCCTCTGTCACATGGGTCTACCTGATGGCACCTAACAACCAGGAGTCCTCGTCCTGGGAAAATTGTTGGTTTCTAAGAGTTTGCCCTCCCAGAACATTTTCTGTTGTGGGCATCCTGCTGCCCAAAGATGACGTGAGAGACGCTGGTTGAGTTTCTATGTTTCAGAGACAAAGGTCAGGGTTGTGGTTGCTCTAATAGGGAACTGAGCCAGGGGCCTGGCTAACCAACAGCCCGGGGACACCTTGTCTAAACTTCAATGAAGTGTGTTACTAGCCACAGACAGGCAGAGTCACTTTGGAACTGCTAATTGTTTCTCTTTTATCCTTCTAAAGGTCCCAGCAGGCAGGCACATACTGGATGCAGGCACATACTGGATGAAGACATATACTGGATCGGGTGCACAGTTTCTGCCTCAGGGCCGTTAACAGTTCCTTTGTGGTGTATGTCTGTTACCATCTGTGATCATCCTGAGCATACACAAGTTTCTCCAGGTAATGAAATTTCTGCAGTGTGGAAAGATGGATCTTCCAGGTTGAAGCATTTTATCTGCAGCCCATCCCAGTCCGTTAGTGAGCACTTCCATCAATAGCTGGAATCAGGGCTTAGACCAAAGAACCAAACCTGCTGTCCTCAAGTCAATCCCAACTCAGTGTCCTCACAAGACAGAGCCGACCTTTTCCATAGAGTTTCTCAGGCTGTAAATCTTTAGAGGCAGATGGTCTCGTCTTTCTCCTGTGCAGTGACTGGTGGGTTCAAACTGCTGACCTTGTAGTTAGCAGCCCAGAGCTTTAACCGCTGCCTCACCAGGGTGCCCAATCAAGGCTCCCAAACCAAACTCACAGCCATAAAGTTGGTTCCAACTTATAGCGATCCTGTCTAGGGGTGCCAAGGTTGTAAAAATTTATGGGAGCAGAAAGCTTCATATTTCTCCCACAAAGCAACAGGTGGGTTTGAACAGACGATGTTGTGGTTAGCAATCCAGTGCTTATCTAACAATGCCACCAAAGCTCCCTAATCAAGGCTTTATTGTTATGTGCACCGAGACAATTCCAACTCACAGCAAACCCTAGGGTTTCCAGGGACTGGTGGTAGTTGTGTGCGGTGGAGTCACTTCTGACCCACAGCGACCCTGTATCGCGTTTCGAGGCTGTAAGTCTTTACAGGAGCAGAAAGTTTCGAAGTGCTGACTTTGAGGTTAGCAGCCCGACTTGTAATCACTAAGTTACCAGAGCTCCTTTTCCCAAGGACTGGGCCTCCTGTAAACAAAACACCCCTCATTAACAGTGTAATTTTCAAAAAGAAAACTGTTTACCATTCTTTCTTGTACATGTGTTAACCTTTGTGGCTCTTTGCCCAACTTACAAGGGCAAGTCAGAAAGGATCGCTACTAGGGTTCTGGCTCACACATGCCCAAGTTTATTCCAACCATAACATGTTTCAACATGTCTCCGACACCACTGGACGGCTGCAGACAAGTTCTGGCCATCCTACATCTCAGTATCTCCAGGGTGTCCACTCAAAACAATGGCTTCCGAGGGGCATCTGCTGGGCCAGTGACATTCACATTCAAGGCAGAGAGATCAGTGCAAAATGTTCTGGTGAATATTTTTAGGACTGCAAAGGGGTCATCTTGAGAGACTTTTCTGGAAAGACACAGGATGATCACGGGGGCTTCCAAGGAAGAAGTTTTAAGAAAATGGAAAACTGAATTGATGAGAAAGAGGCTAGAAAAGTTGGACCAAGGAATTTTTTCCTATCATCACAACAATGCACCTGTTCATTCTTCAACGGTAGCAAGAGCTCGCCTACAAGAATTTTGTTGGGAAACCTGCTCCCCATCCATCCTGGTGGCGGAATGATTCTGTGCCGCGGAGTCGCTTCCGACTCACAGTGACCCTGTATAGGGGTTTCCAAGGCTACAAATCTAATTTAGGGAGCAGAAAGTCTCATGTTTCTCTCTCCCTCTCAGACTTCTTTTTCGTTCCCTAAACTCAAAGGACACTGAAAAGGAACACAACTTGAGTCCCTCGAGGATGTCAAAACTGCTGCTTGACATCCCAGAGCGCAGAATTCTCCAGGGAAGGGAACCGAATAGACCCGGACGGAGACTAAGTGGGGAACAGCTTCGCATTTTGATGCTTTTGTTCCACAAAGGCTTCCGTGCCTTCGCAGCAATGCTTTTTTTGACTCGCCCCATCTGTGCTTTCTCGTTTCCGAACGAGGAAAGCCCCTTAGCGTGGTGTTGCGAGGGAAAGCCCAAAACAAACGGGTATCAAGGGCTTTACACGAAAGCGGGGCCCAGACTGCGGCTGCCTCGCCCCTACCGACCACAGGCGGGCTAATACCACACGGAACCTTGGGCTCCGGGACCCCCAGCCGCGGGCCTCTCCACCCACCGGCCTGGCGCGGCGCCGTCTCTACCGGACCCAGGGGTGCGGGGTGCAGGGGGGTCTGGGTGAGGGGAGAGGGCCTGAGAGCGGCAGGGTCGGAGGAGTCCTGGGGAAGGGCTCTGAGAGGGAGAGTGTCCGGGGAGGGAGGCATTGCAGGCCAAGGCCCTGTCCCTTGTCGACCACTCCTCATCCCGGTCCTACTCCCGAGCACCCCGCTTACCCCACTCTGAGCCGCCTCCCTGCGCTCGGCGCCGCACTCTGGGGCGAGCTGGTGGTCTCGACCAACGAAGGTTCGGCAGAGCGGGCGGACGAGGGTCTTTCCCTTAGAGCCTAAGGCCGCCATGGTCCGGCGACCGCCCGGCTCCCGCGGCACACGGCAGCGTCGCGACGACGCCAGGGGCTGCTTCACGGTAAAGTCGCAAAGCGTAAGGCGGGGGCGGGGACTTTGCGGCCGACCGGGCGCTTTCCCGGCGGTGTGGGCCCGGGGGGCTACGGACGGGCAGGGGCGCCGGGGTATTGAAACGGGAACGGACGGGCCGAGCGGGGGTTGTGGGAGCTGCCATCCCAGGCTGTCGCGCCCACAGCCGACGACGGGGCGTGTGGAAGCGCCGCAGCAGGCGGCCTTTCCCCGGGGTTGGGGGCGTTTGGCCCGGAGTCGGGAGGAGCGAGTGAGCGGAGGCGACGGAGGCGGCGACGCGGCGCGCGATGGCGCGGGTAGGCCAGGTAAGCTGGTGGGCTCCGTCCCCTCCCCCGCGGCCCATTGTGAGGTCAGGGAGGCCGCGCGTCGGGGAGCCGGGGCTCGCGGCCAGTGTCTGCCGCCGCCCGCGGCCCCGCCGCGTCCAGACCCCGCCGGGAGGGGCGAGAGGGATGCAGCTCGGGGCGCGGCCCCGGCGCCTCCCCCGGTGAAGGGCCGGTGTCCACCTCGCCTCCAGCCCCCGCTCCAGTTAAAGCCCAGCGGGCCGGGCCCAAAGGCAGGCGGCTGAGCCGGCTGCCCCGCGCGGCCTCGGACACCCGCGGGGCCTGGGCCCACCGATGGTCCATCAGGAACCGTTTGCGGGCAAACGAGGCCGGCAAAGCCTGCGTTAGGTGTTCTCAACTCTTGAGTGGGCGGAAGGGATGGAGTGTTCACAGTTGAGTCTCATTCGTCTGGGTTTACGGGGGCGAAGGTCGGGGCGGTTAAAGTATTAAGCTGCCAACCGAAAGATGAGTGCTTCATACCCACCTAGCAGTACGGCGGGAGAAAAGACCTGGCGATCTGCTCCTGTAGACGTTTCCTGTAGGGCCGGCTGGATAGCAGTGGGTTTGGGCGTTTGGTTTTTATTTGGGGGGAATCCCAAGGCGGTGTGTTGAACCTGATCCCAGTGACCCCTTCTTATCCCCGTGGAAAGATGTGTGAAGGGCTGGAGGGATGAGGTGGTGGTGGTGTCAGGTGCCGTGCATTCGGGTCCAACTCAGCGTCCCTGTGTAGGGTTTCCGGGACTTTAAATCTTCAGGGCCATAGAAAGCAGACGAGGATGTAGAGGCTTGATGAGGGGCTCCAAGGGATGTTTTCAGGAAACTAGCCAGTTGTTTGGAAGGTTAGAAGGAATGCTGTTGAACCTTCCCATTCTCTACATTCCACAAGGTGGCTTGCTTGTTCCACGGTAAAATCCTAAAATATTGGTGCTGTTCTAAACTGCCAGGTCAGTGTCCTGCCGTCGTCCTTATGAAGGCATCCACAGCTTTTCTCTGTTAAGTGGGAAATGTTGAGCTGCACAGACCCTGCATTCCAGCTCAGCTCTGCAGTAACCAGTGTGTTCTTTACTGGCTGCCAGGCTCAGAGCCAGAAGTCCCTACGGCAGCCTGTCTTCTGTACTTGAATGTCACGGTCTTTGGGGTTGCAATAGCGACCAGCGCCTTTTTAGAGTATATCTTGATGTTACTATGCGATCACCCGTCTTCAAGGACTGTGTGCTGAAGTGTTGTCATTCTTGTCCTCCTTTAGTGCTTGTGAAACTGAACTCAACCACAGTATGGATATGGGGAACCAGCACCCTTCTATCAGCAGACTGCAGGAGATCCAGAAGGAAGTGAAGAGTGTAGAACCACAGGTGACCGGCTTCAGTGGCCTATCGGATGACAAGAACTACAAGAAACTGGAGCGGATTCTAACAAAACAGCTTTTTGAAATTGACTCTGTAGATACCGAAGGACGAGGAGATATACAGCAAGCTAGAAAGCGGGCAGCCCAAGAGACGGAGCGTCTTCTCAAGGAACTGGAGCAGAATGCCAACCACCCGCACCGGCTCGAGATCCAGAACATCTTCAAGGAAGCCCAGGCCCTGGTAAGGGAGAAGATCGTGCCGTTCTACAGTGGCGGCAGCTCTGTCACCGATGAATTTGAGGAAGGCATCCAGGATATCATTCTGAGGCTGACCCATGTGAAGACCGGGGGTAAGGTCTCCCTGCGGAAAGCCAGGTACCACACCTTGACCCGAATCTGCGCAGTGCAAGAGATCATGGAAGACTGCGTGAAGAAGCAGCCGTCCCTGCCGCTCTCAGAGGACGCTCACCCTTCAGTGGCCAAAATCAACGCTGTGATGTGCGAGGTGAACAAGGCCAGAGGCACCCTGATCGCACTCCTGATGGGCGTGCACAGCAACGAGACCTTCAGGCACTTGTCCTGTGTGTTGTCGGGGATGATCGCTGACCTGGACGCCTTGGATGTGTGCGGGAGGACGGAAATCCGCAACTACCGCCGGGAGGTCGTTGAAGATATCAACAAGTTACTAAAGTACCTGGACCTAGAGGAGGAGGCAGACACAACGTACGCCTTTGACCTAGGACAGAACCATTCCATCTTAAAGATAGAAAAGGTCCTCAAGAGAATGCGAGAGATCAAAAACGAGCTCCTCCAAGCGCCGAACCCCCTTGAACTGTACCTGAGCTGCAAAACGGAGCTGCAGGGGCTGATAGGGCAGCTGGACGAGGTGAGCGTGGAGAAGAACCCCTGCATCCGGGAAGCCCGGAGGAGGGCAGTGATCGAGGTACAGACTCTCATCACCTACGTGGACCTGAAGGAAGCCCTGGAGAAGAGGAAGCTGTTTGTGTGTGAGGAGCACCCATCCCACAGAGCCGTGTGGGACGTCCTCGGCCACTTGTCTGAGATCCAGGGGGAGGTGCTCTCATTTGACGGGAAGCGCACAGACAAGAACTACATCCGACTGGAGGAGCTTCTGACCAAGCAGCTGCTGGCTCTGGACGCAGTGGACCCGCAGGGTGAGGAGAGGTGCAAGGCCGCCCGGAAGCAGGCGGTGAAGCTGGCCCAGAACATCCTCAGCTATCTGGACCTGAAGTCTGATGAATGGGAATACTAAAGTGCCAGAGATGACGCGTTGTTGACGATTGCTTGTTTTGCACTTTAGATAGTAACTTCTACATAATTCTTGAGAGCTTTCAGTGCGTTTTATACACATGCCTACTGCAACCTCAGTATTTATGATTTCCGCAAATTATATTCAGAATTTCTGCTCCTTTTGATGTTGCAAAACAAATGTCATTACAGCACATTAATTTTCCATTTGGATCATTATCCCTATGGTGTGGCGTGGTTTTCTGGGGGGAGGTTTTTGTTACACCCCCACCCCCACCCCCATAAATGGGATCTAGACAACTTTTACCATTTTACAAAGTAGGTAGTTACTTCAGAGTCTAGAGGAAGAGCTGTAACCTTCACTACACTGGACAAATCATGAGTCAAGGGGAAACTTTGGGTGAAATAGGAGTAAGGTCCAAACAAAAGCAGTACCTGGGGTGTACTTTAATTTGCTAATGAAGCGTATTAACATAAAACCACATCCTTTATGAATCCGCATGTGGTTCCATCCATTGATTGGGTGGGCTGTTAAAACGTTTGCTACTGCAACGTTTTGAGTGAAGGGTCTGTTGTTTTGTAAATGCTTTTTCTTTGAAAAACCGTGTCTGTATTCTCCCCTATGCTTTACATTAAGAGGGGGAAAACCTTATTTTCATGTATGTGATGTAAGAAAATTATGAGAACAAATAACAAAACAAAAAGACTGCGTTGAAGAAGGGATAAACACCAGTTAGTAAATAGCTACAAGTTGCTATTTTGTTTGTGAAATCCACCTGAGCATGTTTTCCTTCCTGTGATAAATCAGGACAAGAGCAGCCCAGTGAAGCAAAGTGAACATTAAGAAAACAAAGAAGCGCTTCCACCAATAGTTCCAGACTTAAACACACAGAGCAGACACACTCCTGCAGTTCAAGGCTGCACCAGGGGCGAGCTGGTTATTCAGCGTGCCCAGCGCTGTTTAAATAATGCATACAGTAGCAGCAGCTGCCAGGAACCACTGTAGCTTCTCCTCCGGAAGTTAGCTGTTAGAACTAGCACCTTAAACGTCAGACTGGTGAGACTAGAGTAGAACTTGTTTTGAACGAAAGGTTTTTCTCCTTGGTACAGAGGTCATCTTAATGCTTTGTGGAAGTTTGTTTATTGCCTAAAAGCTATTAAAATGTATCAGTGCATAAAATTCTGTCCTTCTGCTAAAGGCTATATTTCTGTAAATCCTTTCGGATGACCCCAACATATGTGAACATAACCATTTCCCAAAGTTCAGCAGTGCCTTTGAACGTCTGGCCTCTTGTATTGTCCTCAGTTAACAGACTGCTCTTTTCTGTAGTTACCCCTCAAAACAATCATATTGGAGACATCATTTGAACTCTGTGCTAACCTGCGCCTTTGCTTCTGAGAGTCATGGTAATTTGGTAACTGTAGGAAAATTTTTAACCACCAAACAAATGTGGTTGACTCATAGAGGAAGAGCCATAAAGGCCCCAAGAGCCATAAATGCCACGTCATTCAAAGCCCTTGATCTGCCTTTCCTACAGGAAGCATTCTCCAGCCAGTGGGTGGCTGTGTCCCTGAGCGCGCGCACACACACACACACATACACACCCGCCCCAGCAGGTCTCCACTGTGAGGTAGCAGCACCGGTTGTGGGTGCAGGTCATGGGGTCTCACTCTGGCTGAAGCAGGGTTTGGGTACTGTCTCTGTGTCACGATGTGGAAGATGAGTTTTGAAAGTGGTGCACTGTCTCCTGGAGAACCAGTTTTAACCAGAATTCACTTCCCTAAGCTCTGCAGTTTTGACCTTGAGAGTCAAAAATATCAGCATTCCTTTTAAAGCTTCCTGTGGTGGTTGAAAGCCTATTTCCTTGAGCTTCTGTAGTGATGTGCAGCATTAAGCTTGTCCTCAAACAAGTTGTCCTTTTGACGACTCCGGCTTGACTTCAGTTCCTGCTTCTAATCTTCCAGGCTGCTCAGTTACCCGACATACATGCCGAGTTTGGCCTTTCTCGTTCGTTCCTCTGGTTAGGAATGGTTTGTGTTCACGTGGGCTATAGCGTGTAACTTCTAGATTGGACGACTCCAATGTATTTGTGTGACCTATCTCGTGCAGAAATTAATCTCTGCTAGTAAAAACCTTGGCAACGTGCGGCCTGGGGTCTTCGTGACATGGTACAGCCCACATTCATGTCACTAGTGACCAAGGCTTGCTTTACCCCGTGGACAGGCAGCATTGTTTCCAGGTGATTATCTGGTCAAAGAGACTATAGACCATCTATCCAAAATGAAGTTATTAGAATAAGCAATGTGTATGTCTCCCAAGTATACTGTGAGCCTGTATTTTGCTGAAATGACGTGGTAGGATACAGTTGATACAATTGTGTATCTGAGAGGTTTACAGCCAGTCGTTTGGGGTTTTTTGTTCCGTCTGCTCATTTTTATCAGGCTTACTTTGCACCTGCAGATTTTTTTGAGAAAAAATTTTTTTTACCTTTCAGCCTGTAAGGTATTTGATAGCCCTTTTCACCTTTCAGTCCATCAGGTATCTGATATGCCGTTGGTGTTTACATATTGAACAGGTGTGAGTTTGTAATATGTGCCCAGCCTTCTCGTACCTGTATGACTATTGCATGTTGTGTCTTACAAATGACTCAATATTACTTTGAGATGTACATATTCTATCCCCTCACCTATTCTGAAATTAAAAAAAAAAAAAAAAAAGCTTATCTCGTGGTGGAGAAAGGGTGTGGCTCTGAGATGTGTGTTCTGTTCTGTTATGTCCTTTATGAGAGGGGATGTGTCGGCCAGGGTGTGGGAGAAGGTGGGCACACAGCAAAGTTGGTGGCACAGGTGTAAAGATCTGGGGGGCCAGGATCCAGTAATAATGGGGATTCCAGTTTTTGACACCCAAGGAAATGGGTCCAAGGACCAGGCTCGTTCTAGCCCAGTGGAGCTGTACCCCCACGCCCCACCCCACAGGGAGACGTCCAGAAAGGATGGGAGGAGGAATCTCTCCCCGGTGTGTTCGGGAATGTGCTGTCGTGACTTCTTTCCAGCTTTTTCCCTTGGGACAGTCTGACCTCTGCCAGCTGTGTCTTGCTGGCAATGCCGGGAGATGGACAAAAAGGAGCAGCTTGTACAGGCCTTAGGGGGTCCAGATGATGTCACCCACAGGCCCCACCGCCATGTGCACACTGGTGTCATTCCTGCTAACAGCAGAGCAGCGCTGTGCGCTGAAGGTCAAGATGTGGCCTCCCCATCATATCATGCCTGGAGAAGTGAATGCATTGTTACCCTGGATGGTGGGATTTGGCAGGGGGACCTAGAGTGGCCAGAGGATTACCATGCATGGAGCTTGGGGACACGCAGGGGTGCTTGTCTCACTTGGGGTGACAAGTATTTGGGCTGACACAGGCCTCCCTTCTTGGTGGACCCATCACGTGCTGGGACACTACCTTCAAGCCGATCACCTGCCAGGCCTGTGTGGGGCCTCTGTGCCCATCTCTAAGCTGCCCAGGTGGGCTGCCATCAGTGCTGAGGCCTATTTCAGCTGTTCACCAGGAGGCTGAAGCTTTGTCCATCCTCTCCCCATAAGTTCTTTGGCACAGCCTGGAAACCCCATCTGAGCCACTAACACTGTGGGAAGACAGAAGTGGGCTGAGTCACCTCAGTTTTGAGGGGGAGCAAGCAAAACTTCTGGAAAGTTACCAAGCCCCTGGGTGGAGCGATACACACCCCTCCTATGGAGAAACTAGCTTGGATCTGAGTCTATCTCAACAAATGAAATCTGGCTCTTCACTGATGAATCCCAACTTCGAAAAAATGAACCAACTTCAGTGACATGAAGACACGGTCCCATTTTAGGATCCAGCGCCCTGCACCCCTAGTTCGGAAAACGCTGGGAGGCCAGGGTCCATGTACGTGGTCTGCTCCCAAGGGCCCAGTCACAGGTGGCAGTCAGTTTCAGTAACAATCCTCACGGCCTTGAGCTTAATCCTGTCATCTGCCCCATGGTCAGGTCAGCTCCATTCTCTAGGGCTGCTTGACGTCAGGGTGAGTTTGGGGGTGCCCCAGGATGGCCCATTTACAACCTGGGGGCTTAATGGCTGTATCCATCTGCTGCATAGTGATTCGGGCAGGAGCAGGTGTTTGAGGGTCCCCAGGCTGTGCCCTTGGACCCGCCCCCACAGGGCTGCTGCCCACAGCCCATCTCCATCTCCGCCCACGCAGCATCTTCTAAGCAAGAGCCCGAATAGCTGGTCTTGTCGCCTCAAGCATCCCGTAGTGGCTCCGATAACTTGGATGGGCTAGACTTTAGAAATGGCATCCACAGCTCCTGGTACCTGATTAGCATTCCACGTTGTTAGGTGCCTTGGGGTCACTTCCAGCTCCTAGCAATGCTACATGCCCACCTCACAATCCTTGCCGTGTTAAGTCCATCTCACGGAGGGTCTTCCTCTATTAGATATGATGTCCGTCTCCAGGGACTCTCTAAGGACCCACCCACAGTACATTTATCTTGCTGGGTAAGTGAATGGCAACCTAAGATGTTCCGTTGTTAAGTGCTGTCGTTGGTTCTGACTTACAGTGACTTGTATAGGATTCCCAAGGAGGTTTGTCCTGTGCTTATCATACAGTACTGCACCGGACTCCTCAGATCTTCAGAGAGCTCTGTAACTGTGCGAACACCAACTCCCTGTTTATTCCTCAGGATCTTGGGGATGTTTATTATAAAGGACTCCCCAGTACTCCTGAGTCCCCTTGGGTCTGGGAGACCCTTGCCTGATATAGTCACCTTCTGGTTTGGGGGGCCTTGCCTGATAACCACCACGAACCTTCCAGAGTTTGGGGACCCTTGCCTGATCGATACCTACATCCCCTTTGGAGTTTGGGGAACCCAAAGTGCCCCACATGAGGCTACTGGGGGCCCCAACACCGAGCTCATGTTGAGAAATACTGGCTACTGCTGGGTACACAGACCTCTGACCTGACCGAAAATGAAGCACC